GCAGGAGCGGCCGCGGCGCAACCCGCGCCCCCCGCACCTCGCTCGCCCCTCACACCCTTTACTGCAATTCAGCTTCTGCCCGCGGAAGGGTGAAACAGTGAAACTTAAACCCGTTTTTTCTGTCCCTCAAGAGGAAATACTGAACGCCGAAGTTAGGCCCGAATCCTGTAAACAGTTATAGACGTTACACACGTGGTTCCCTCTCGCCGGGACCCGCTAGCCGGGGAAGGATGAAGCAGGAGCGAACGCTGTTTCCCAGGTTCACTCCATCTGCTTTTTGCTCCCCTGTTCGCAGAAATGCCCCATGTTACCCGGAAATCATCCAGAAAACTAAAGCTGCCTTCATGGTATTTTTCAATTGCACTACTTCAAGAAAATTTACACTCCTTCTAACAATAATAAAAAAAATATACAAGGAGGCGTTTCCTGTATTAGCTGCAATAGCATCCCATTACCTGGGACTGTGCTAGGTCTTTGCTTTTCCATTCTGCATTTGAAATAAATGCTTATTTTGCATTGGCCCTCCATTGCGGTCTCCCTTTCACTCTTGGGCATGTGCTACAACAACAGAAGGCTTTAATAACTTGGCCTACTCCTGCCATCCACTCCTACTTCTGGAATATTTACCCTCCAGTAGATCTCCGTTTACATCAAGTCAATTGCCAGGCTGAGTCAGGTGCATTAACACTGTTATAATTAAAGTCACAGTGCAGTGGTGAATGCAGGATAAACCCGACATAGGGTAATTCAACAGAACGTGCATCATTTTTCTCGATAAAATGTTCATCTTGTATGAGATTCTTTTCCCACAACATGAAAAAAAGTTTATAAAGCTAAAAATCTTCCAAAGCACCATGTGTTATGATTTAACAAAAAGTTGTGTTTTGATGGTTTTGGCTTTCTATTGCTAAGCATTGTTTGCATCATTATACCATGAAGTATATGCTACTGAATCAAAGGTTAGAGAACGCTAAACTCTAACAGAGAAAGTCGACAACATAGACTATATATATCTCATGGGAATATTTTAATTAGTAGTCACATTCTGTCAGTTTAGCAGAAGTTGACATTTTTCAGAATGAGCATGAGTGGCCCTACTTGAATGTGGACTAAGCACGACACAGCATGATACACCGTTATTAAACTTAGATACATGCATTTAAAACAGGCAACTGCTGATGCTCTCCTGGCTGTTTCAAAACGACTGTGTCTGGTAAGATTTGTTTTACAAAGTAAACTGGATTCTAAGTGAGATTTCAAAGCATAGTTTATCAAGTGTCCCTATTGGGAAACCCCCCCACACGTTTTCTGAAGAAAATTATCAGCTAGGCTCATATTTACACAATAATGGATACACAATGTTCTATTCAAGCACATTAAAAACAGAGTTACATCATTTATTATACTGCAAAGCCCATACGGTAATAATTGCACAGCAGTTGTGAGATGTGAACACACACAACTGGTATAGATTCCCACAAGCCATACTGAAGACCCTTTTTTAAGGTCCACCAGGCAGGTGGCAGTGCACACGACAAATTCTTGCCTCATCTCTCCCCAATGCAGGGGGTCCCTCGCGCTGGTACCAAGCCGTATTTATGAGATGCTGAATGCTCTGAACTCTCACTGAATGCGATCAAAGTTGAGGCACCTTTCAAGACCACAACATAAAGAACAAATGAGAAGCAGTGCAGAAGAAGCTCCCGTTTCATTACCAGAGGAAAGCAGTATAACAAAAATCCTTAGATACTTACTCCTACTTTATATCATAAGGAAGCAAATTATGTTAATAAAAGCTTATGAATTAATTATAATTTCAAAGGTAGTTAACTCCTAGCATTGCATACAACAGGTTTATTTAAAAATATAGGCCCATATAAGTGATGTGAGCATTTTGATCTACTTACAGCAGTTAAAAGGTAAGAGAGGAGTAGCATTTGAATCAAACAAGGTGGTTATTTTCATATTATGAGAGAAAGTGAATTAGCAAAATAAACTGAGCTAGTCAGCATAAATATGTATCATGTATTAGTGACAGCAAACCTGGTATTACAGAGAGGGTGATTATAGCCCTCAACTCAGTGACGAAAAGACAGCTGCTCTCATTTTTCTCTGTTTCTTAAACTTTTGACTTTCCTAATGACTGGCTTGTACTCCGCAGTTCTCTGAGTGTCCTCTAATATAGTACTTACTTTTTTAAAAAACTAAGTCCTTTTTTACATATAACACATAGAAAATAAGGACTGCTTTCTAAGCATTACCCGAGTAGACTACTTTGTTGAAATCCCTGAGGAACTACTGGATCATCCTAATGCGAAACAGAGTAATTATCTACATTCAATACAAATAAAATGTATCTCTTTAAAGGAACAGCCAGGACACATAAGAACTGGTGAACTGCAAGCATTTCACTAATTTTACTCATGAATGCAGCTCCAACATTTTTGAAAAATACCAATGTTTGATTTCAGTTCTCAAGTAAATTCCAGAGAGAAAATAAACATTGGTCAATACAGCCAAGTTCTCAGTTACATTTAAAATGAATGAATAATTTTAATTTTGCAAGTAGATCCACATGAGTACACCCTTACATCCTTATAGAGCTACACTGGAGTCTCTTTCTAGGCAAGTCTCCAATTGCCCTCCAGTTATCCTAAGTTACCTGTATTTTGTAGATGGAAGAATTACTGGGACGCATCTGGACTGGGAGAATAATGAAAAAAACCCACACTACTTTTCTTAATAGACATTGTGGAACAATCTGTATGGTATTTAGAGGGAAGCCAGAGCATTCGCCTTCACTGAATACCGAGTCTCTAGACATCTGATGGAAATGCCATTTTAAGACTTTTAAAATCTTGAAAACTTCACAGAATTGCTTAGGTTGGAAGACACCTCCTGAGATCATCTAGTCCAACCCCTCTGCTCAAGCAGAGTGAGCTAGAGCAGGTTGTCGAAGACTGTGTCCAGCTGGGTTTTGAATATCTCCACAGATGAGGACTGCACCATCTCTCCGGGCAATCTGTTCCAGTTTTGACCACCCTCATAGTAAAAAAATGTTTTCTTGTGGTCAGATGGGATTTCATGTGTTTCAGTTTGTGCCCGATACCTCTTGTCCTGTCAGTGGGCACTACTGAGAACAGTTTGACTTCCTCATCTTCATTCCCTCCCATCAAGTATTTATACATGCTGATAAGATCCCCCTCAGCCTTCTCTTCTCTGAGCTGAGCAGTCCTCACACTCTCAGCCTCTCCTCATAGAAACGATGCTCCAGTCCCTTAATCATCTTTGTGGCCCCGTGCTGGACTTACTTCATATCTTTCCTGTACTGAGAAACCCAGAACTGAACACAGCACTCCAGATGCGCCTCATTGGTACCGAACTGAGAAGATCACCTCCCTCAAACTGCTGGCAACTTACTTGAAATTACTGCATATTTACTCAGGTATGAAAAATAGACCAAATATAACCACTTTTGGATCTTTTATTTCCAGTGTTAAATTCCCTAACCACTAGAACAGTATCTAGAATAGAACCAAACACCAACTGGGCTGGATGGGACCTTTGGACACCGTCTGGTCCAATGCCCCTGCTAAAAGCAGGCCTAACATTAAAGTTAAATCAGACTGCTCAGGGCTTTATCCAAATAAAGTTTGAATATATCCAAGGATGGCAATTCTACAGCCTCTCTGGGCGTCCTGTCTCAAGCCTTGACAATCCTTATAGTGGATTTTTTTCCCTTATGTCCAGTTGGAATTTTCCTTGCTGCATCTTGTGCATTTTCCCATATATATGAATAATTTACTAGCAGCAAGTAAACTTAACTCCTACTGTCATTATCATCGTCTGTGCCATTATCTTGGGATCACACGTCATATTTCTTTGCTTTTTAGGCAAAGAGTAGTAACATTGTTTATTGTATAAACAATATTACTATGCTCAGTGTGAAGTCTGTCTTTGATTTGATAGGAAATGATAGGAATTAGGCTATTCTTATCCCCATCTCTTATTCATGAAAATGGTCAGCAATAAGATCTTGCACTTCTACTGTGAGGGCTTTTCTTCATCCCTACTGAGCTCTATATAGGATGCTGTATATTAGCACATAATAGGACTTCTGGGATATATGTACAGCATTTCTTTCTTTACGCTTACTCTTCTTTTATAGTCTAAAGTAAAAAAGCAGGTTGCAAAATGCTAACATCTGTATTATTATGCCATTGACAAATAAGTAAACAAGACAAATTCATTCAAGATACACTTCAAGAGGAAGGTAAAATTGTGTCACAAAGTGTTCCAACTTTGTTGAACAAATTCCAAGCACATTTTAAA